GCCAGGAGCTAAAACACACAAAAATAAACACAATTACCATTTTTACAGAAAAAGTCATTTAATTTGATTTAACAAAAAGAAACAAACTTACTTTTTTAGATGAGTGTTTTTTTAGGCAGCTGTTGTGTTTTGTTTAGGTTTCTCTAGAAGAAAACAAGATAATTGGTTTTCTTTAGTTTTCAGTTTTACATATGCGTTCATTTTAGTTTTTGTAGGAGACTTACATTTGTTTTTGTCGGGAGGTTTACTGCAGTGGGAAAACGACGAGATGAGGCTTTTTAGTTGTCGGTTCCAGCAGACTTTTATTTTTTGTGTTTGGCTTCAGCATTACTCCATAACTCCACGATTGAAAGATTTGTCCTTAGAGGGATTAAACACCTCGTTTCTGGATCAAATGAAACGCGTGTGCTGGAAAGCTGCTGCTCAACTTGGGTCTGGCCATCAAGTGAAATGAACACAACAACACAGAGTGTGTGGGCGTCTCTTTTAAAGGGGAAGTCACCGTGGTTAACACAGGTGACCGGAATCAATAATTAGTGACGGATGTGCAAAACACAGGTGCAAACAACTAAACTAAATCATGTACAACTTTAGGTTGCCACAATCTAAAAAAAACCCAAAAATGCATATTGTATGACTCAACGCTCACAAGAGACACACCATTCAAACATTCGTCTGATCGATCGCTTTTATTTACTCAACGCGTTTTGGAACCTGTTATATTAACACACCTTTGTTGCTCTTTGAAGCTAAGCTAAGCAAGCAAAGCTAATACTAGCTCCTCTCAACCCGACGGAGAAGGTGAACAGAGGAGGAAAAGGAAATTTCCTCCTCTTTGTCCACAGTTGCCCCCAACTCGAAGAAGTCACAACATGAAAGTCTGACTAAACTTTCAAAAGGACAGATACTATATCCATTATATATTCATCAGTGTGTGCACATTGATTTATGCCACTGGAGAAGAAAATGATTTTGTTACGGTATCTGGACAGCCTGTTTGTTATTTATAACAAGTAATGGAGCTATACTTAATTTTGAGGGAACCAATGGAAGTGGCTATTTTGAATTGTAGGGTGCATCAGAAGAGGTGAACTTTTGTTGTGAAGGGAAACTTTGAAGCTGACAGAGTGGAAAAATCGTGCATTGGTTATGAAAAGATGGAGATGATTCAGTTGAAAGGAGAAGGCAGATCTGAGGTGGAGATTGTGACGTGAATTTATCTACAACCCATATCCCGTTGGGAGAATGTATTTTCTTAAGGTAACCAAATATTACAAAGCACCTAGTTAAAACTACTTTTACTTGCTTTTCTGATTTAATGACCTAGTAGCAAGCTGTCTTAACTCTCCCCTGTGGCTTTGTGAGAAACCTCTCCATGTATTGTCAAACTTCAAAGCCCCAACTAACAGTAATTTCCAAATATCTGTCCACTCCACAAACATCTCATTATATAATTATCCCTTATCCTGTGATAAGGTGATAGCCAGAAGATCCAATGCTCACCTTAATTTCTGGGGTTGGGAAATGTTTAGAAAAATCCTGATGTAATGAATAGGTGTTAAAACTTTTCTTTATAAAGTTTTAATAAAATTTCCTTATAGTTTTATTTGACATATTTTATGTAAGTCAAAGAAAGGGAGCTGAAGCATGGCTGTAGAAATTGTAGAAATAAATGCGTTGTTTAAAATGGTATGTCAGAATAAAACAGGAATCACTGGATTTCTTCTTAAAGGGATCCCTAATCAGTTGTAACATTAGACTTTATTTGATAAACATATATTTTAACTGTAAAATAAAAACTGTAAAAATACTGTAGGACGTTTAGTTTTGTACATTTTTAAAAATATATTTTAACATGAACGGAGCCATTTTATTTACACACAAAGCATTCTGGGTAAATGATGACGTGGATAGGTCATCGGTGCGAGGCTGCTAGCGAGCTATATCCACCCTGAAGGTTAATCTTGGACAATATCTGATGATCGACTCTTTTAAATGAAACCAGAGAGCGTTGACAGAGAGGAGAAGGTAGAAATGACTCAGCCTGGAACTGAAAATATGGATGGAGGACAACAGAGCTGCTTCATGGAAGAAGAACCTCAGCTTAGCCTGTTAGCCTTCGTGGTAGCACTGACGCTATATTGCCTTTTGCTGCGTTCACACCGAACGCGATTTCAACTTCAAAATCGCATCCAACGCTTCAAGTTGGACGCTTTTGCACTTTGAGGTCAGACGCAGGTCAACTCTTGAAGTGCTTGTACGGGAAGAGCCTCCCCGCCCCTCCCTCCTCTGTCGGGCTCTGTTTAATGTCGGATGAGGAAGTGCTTTGCTTTATTTACAGAGAAGAGAGCAAGAGCATGTCACGCTCATCAGATAATTAATTCATAATTAATTCACCAGATAATTCAGAGACATTCTGAGTTTCATCACCCAGGAGCTGCGGGAGAGGCTCACAGCTCGCTTTCAGGACTATTTTTGTCCCGAGTCCAGTCTGATGAGCCGCTGCCACGCATTGGTGAGGATATCTCCTGTCAGGACACCGACTGCAGGCACTCGATTTCAGCTAAAGAGCTCCTCTCCATCTGTTTCAGGTTAGTGGACATCATTCAGTAAACTGTCCCGTCGGGAAATATGTCACTACGTCACACAGTGGAGTCTCTCTGATTGGTTGATGCGGCGCGTCGAGCTGCAAAAGTTCAGATTTTCTAATTCAGCGATTTGCACCTCAGCGCGTTGAACGCTCAGATCGTTCAAATCGTTCAAATCGCGCTGCTCTAATCGCACTTGAGGCGCCGCAGAACTTCCCGACGCTGCTTGAAGCGCGTCCACCATAGACTTTGCATGTAAACCTGATGCTCCTGATGCTGAAATCGCGTTTGGTGTGAACGCACCATTATATGTATTAGCTCGGTGCTAGTGAGACAAACAAGCTAAATTGAGGCCCTCCATCCATATTTTCAGTTACAGGCTGAGTCATTTCTACCTTCTCCTCTCTGTCAGCGCTCTCTGGTTTCATTTAAAAGAGTCGATCATCAGATATTGTCCAAGATTAACCTTCAGGGTGGATATAGCTCGCTAGCAGCCTCGCACCGATGACCTGTCCACATCATCATTTACCCAGAATGCTTTGCATGTAAATAAAATGGCCCCGTCCGTGTACTATATTTTTAAACTTTTAGTTTAAAAATTATAAAAACTAAACATCCTACAATATTTTTACAGTCTTTATTTTACAGTTAAAATATATGTTTATCAAATAAAGTCTAATGTTACAACTAATTGGGGATCCCTTTAAAACTTTATTCTCAATCTTCTGACTCCAATCAGGTTCACGGTACAGCACCCAGCAGGCCTCAGCGTAAGACTTTGACAGTCCTGCTCTGAGCAGAGACTCTGCAAGACACTAACAACTTCTTTTTTACTATAAGTTATAGTAAAACTGGTGTAAGTTATAGAAACGGTTATAGAAAAGTTATAGTAACTGGTGGAGGATGTACATGAAATCTGTCTGTGCACGTCACTGAAGAGGTGTATACTACATTCAGCGATGGGGAAAACCGGAGCTTTATTTTTTAACGTCAGTCAATATAAGCAGTGGAATCGTCACCCACTGCCAGTTATTGAGAAGCTGCTTCAACAATAACATTAGCATGCACATAGCGGTGCTGCCAGGAAAAGTGTCCCCCGTAAAACAGTTCACTGGCGGGCGTGACGTAACATTTAGGAACATTTTTAGGCTATTTAAACTGGTATGTCGCTATTCAGAAAATCTGTATAACAACCGGTACGAACCGGTATACCTGCTCAGTACTAGATGTGAAATCACTGCTCCACCATGCCTCCCTGGTTTTATTTTTTAGTCAAGAAAATGTTAGTCTTTCACATGGACCTACAGCTGTACTGCAGACAGCCTACAGGGGCTGCTTCAACTTCTGAGTTATGTTCCTGTTTTTAGTTGTTAGCGTTAGTTGATGGTTGGTGTGAAACACCTCTGGTGTCATCAGTGTTGAAATAACACACACAGCATGGTAAAATATGAGTGAGTCATGAGGAGTCAGTGTTATCAGGGCCTGTGTTCATGGTTCATGGCTCTCTCCTTCGTCTCAGGTCGACGACTCTGTGGAGGTTTTGGACGCCGCTGCAGTAGAAGCTGCGCTCTCCCTATGTGAGGAGGCTGTTTCTGAAGGCCACACCCTCCCTGGCCCCTGGGAGACCCAGGAACTGAAGCCCTCCGACCCCACACCCACGGTTCCAGACTTGAACTCTACACAGGAGCCTCAGGGTGGGGGCGCCGAGTTGGCCCTGACCTCTGACAGCACGGAGTCGCAAAACCTGTTTGATGCTAAAACAGAAGAACAGGATAAAGGAAGTGGCGAGGGACCTGAGGTGACAGGAAGTGATGAAGTCTCCTCTGTCGTCTCTGATGATGGCACAACAGGAAGAGAGATTCCAGAGGGGGGAGCTGCGGTGAAGGAGGCCGCTGAAGCTACAGTAAAGAGTGAAGGAGAAGAGTGGAGCCAACCAGAGCCCAACCCCCCCTGCCTCGGTGAGTATCACACGTGTGTGTAAATGTACACACATGTAAAAGTTTTCTAACTTTTTTTCTGCACAGATTCTGAGGACAGCTGTGTGTCTGGGAAAGAGTCCAAGGTAACCCACATGAACACGCCCACATATACTAACATTAGCTTTTAAAAGACTAATATTGTTCTCTGTTTATTTACTGAACCCAGGAGGTGAAGGAGGAGGAGGGAGGGAGTGACGCTGACCCAGAGGAAGGGATGGAGCTGAAGGAGGACTGTGGGGAGGGGGAGGGCTCCTATCTGTCTGAGGTGGAGCGAGCAGCCAGTGAAAGCGAGGACGGCTACGGTCCACCTTCTCAGCGCTACACGGCAGATTCCCTGGCCAGCAGCCCCGCCTCTTCCTCCCAGCTGTGGGTCCTCGCACATAAACACCCATCCAGTCAAACAGTTTTAAAGACGGGCAGAACGTTTAACAGTGCTTTAATCACACCAGGACCCTCTTTTATTTGGGACTAATCAGTAAAATAACTTCACTCACTGTGAAGAACCTGCTCTAGCTCATCATCTTGTCCTGTTTATTTCTCCTCAGCTCCACGTGTGGAGAGGACCAGGAGGCAGTTCAGGCTCAGAAGATCTGGAAGAAAGCCATCATGCTTGTGTGGCGAGCTGCAGCCAACCACAGGTGGTGTTTCATTACATTAAATAATATCAGTCTTTATTGGCCAAGATATTTAAAGACTTTTTACTCACATTTCAAAACAATGTTTTTCTACCTAATCTCTCAGGTATGCCAGTGTTTTCTTGCAGCCTGTGTCAGATGACATTGCCCCTGGTTATCACAGCATTGTGCACAGGTCAGTACACACACACGCACACAGTAATGTGCAAAAGTTTAAAACCTCCACGACTTTATATTTTCCTTCCAAGCAGGCTTATTTTTTGTAATACAAGTCCAACACCCACCGTTATTAGTCCTAGGTGCTCTTAAGGGTTAATCACTGTCGCAGAATAATATGGTTCAATGTTTTCTCATATTTGGGCTATGCAAGTGTTAAAAACAACTTAAACAAACCAGTTAAGGAAACAGAAGTACGTCAGGGTTTCCCCTAGGATTTCTTTTAACTAGGGATGCACCGATACCAGATTTTTGAAAACCGAGTACGAGTACAAGTACTTACATTAAAGTACTTGCCGATACCAAGTACCGATACAAGTACTAGTAAATATCCTTAAAAATCCTTATAATTAACTTAAACTGTTTATTTTCATTAGGCACTTCAAACATAAATAAACAAAGTACATTACTATTGGTTTAAAACCATTTTACTGTCATATAACCATACTATGACAGCATGTACAAAAAATAAATAAATAAACCTAATACACCTAAAAGAGACTTCCAGTTGATTTATTTTTTATTCCATCTTCATCGTAGATGTAAAAATTTTGTTGATCGGCTCAAATTATCTAAAATGTGTTACAGGGCCCTCACTGAATATTAGAGCATTGCACCATCAACTATATAAACTAAACTAAATAAACTTTGTAGTATGTTAAATTAATTGCAATTAAGTAATAAATGTTTAATTTGTAACATGTTGTAGCTTGGTCATAATGATTTTTCCTCCATCAGATTACTTGGCAAATAAATGCTTATAAAAATAAAATAATATTTTTAGGCAAATCAAKGCTTATATTATTATTTTTAATCATTTTTATTTGTTTAATTTACCTTGGATCCAGTACAGTTGAGATGCAGTAGAAGGGTTTTTCTCAGCATCAGTGAAAGCGCCTCTCGACAGCTGCAGCCAAAGTGGACTTCATTGTTTTGATCCTGTGATCTTCACCAGTGTCTTTGTTTAAGAGTCTCAGAAGCACGTTCACAGCAGGGATGACGTCTTACTACTGTCACCTGAAAATACCTCCACACCGCTGACATGACGCCTCCTCTACAAACTGCTTACTTGTTAAAGTTTGTTCAGCTCGGCTAACGTGGTCGTCGCCTTCTTCTGTTTTTTTATGCGGCTGGCATTAAGTCTGTTGCGCGATTCCGCCGCCTGCTGGTTTAGAGCGTCTATGCACAAACTGAGTGAAAAGAAGCTGGTATCGGTCCTGTAGTATCGGAGCACTTTTATAAGTACGAGTACGAGTTAACGCACATGGTATCGGACYGATACCCGATACTGGTATCGGTATCGGTGCATCCCTACTTTTAACTGTGGTGGTGGCCTAACATTTGACAAAATCTGGTTGTCCACAAAACATTTTGGTTGTCCAAAAAAATCATAAATTGTCTGTTGTCCACACCCAGTTCACTTCATACACACGATTGTGTATTTAATGTTTGTGTCTATGCACGTTATGTCTTGTCTGCACTATGTCCTTTGTTACTGCACTGGAGATCTAGTTTAAAAGCATTTCGTTGCACTGTACAACTCTGTTTCAGTATAATGACAATAAATTGAATTGAATTGAAAATCTCAATAAAAATGTCATTTAATAAGTAGGCTATATTGTTCTGTATACAAAGATTACGGTACACAAATGTTCTCATTCAGCAGGTTAACAGTTTCAGGAGCTGCTTCAGTAAAAATTCCTCCTCATCCTCTTTGAAATAGAGACCAAAAATCAACATCCAACATCCATAAGCTTTCTGCTTACAGGTCAAACATTTTCATTTAAATATAATTTTTTAAATACAACGTAATCCTCAGTGGAAAATAGCCTTCGGACTAACTCTGGCATATTTACAGAAATGTTATTAATATTCACTGTCCTTGTAATAAATAATAAAAAAATATGCTGAATATCAAAAATCTCATTACTCACTGGAGCCTCTGAACTTCTTTCAACTTCTGCAGATTTTATTTCTTCTTTCTGTTTTTGGTTACATAGAAAAAACTTTGAGCCTCAGTCAGGAAGTGTTTGTTTGTTTGTTTGTTTGTTTGTTTGTTTGTTTGGCTGGGGTGGGGGTGACAATGGATGGGGTGTTGGGTGGTCACAAATAGAAATCTGGTCATCTCGCATGATGGGATCCCTGGCATGATGTCACACCCTATATTTGGAAGTGAAGGGCTGTTTCCAAAGCGGCGACTGAAACACCTTGAAATCATCCCACAAACGACTTTTTTTAAAACCAGTTTGTGTTACTTTTCAACATTTGCCACAGAACATACAGCAGGTAAAATAAGTATTGAACACGTCAACATTTTTCTCAGTAAATATATTACTAGAGGTGCTAATGACATGAAATTTTCACCAGATGTCGGTAACAACCCAAGTGCTCCATACTGTACATACAAAGAAATCAAACCATAAATGTCCAGAAATTAAGTTATTTGTAATAATGTGGAAT